GGAGGAAGAGGAGGGAGAGAAGGCGAAGCCTTCCTCCCTGGTACCTGGCACGGTAGCTATGGCGCTGCAAGGGCGGGGCTGGGCCGGTAACTGGCGCTGCGCCCGATGCTGCGCTAATCCTCTCGCCGCTGAGCTCCTGCTCTCCTTGCTGCTCCTCACTATGCTGCAGCGCTGCGCTAATCGTACTAACGCTGAATGCTGCGCTAATCCTGAAGACTAACCTTCGGTCCATACTGAATCCCTACTGAGGCTGGGTACCCAGCCTTTTGTAGTGCTGGGCCGGCCTCCTACCTGCTGGTACCTACCGGCCTGGATCTGAATCGACGGTCCAGATTCGAATTGGATTTGGCGCCTAAATGCGGCAGCCTCTGAAACTGTGCCGCCAGTATGCTGGACAGGTACCGGCCTTGTGGCCGTTGGCCTGGGCCTCTACCCCTGGCCTGCCTGAACTGCCGTACCCCTGGCCTCATCTGAACTGTCGTCCCCTTAGGCCTACCCTGCCTATCTGGGAACCGGGCCCTAACTGGGGCCCGTGTGGCTCAGAATGCCACAGACCACCATGCGCCCCATCCAGCATACAGCAGCGCAGCTCGGCTATGGCTGCCCGCCCGTGAGCGCGTGAGCGCTGGCCAGCGTTAGCGCAGCAGCGCTTGCGCAGCATGCCGCCAGTGCTTGAATGTCCAATGCGTGGGCAAATGGAAGTGGCCTGCCTGCCTTGTGTGCAGCCTGGCTGCGCTGGGTCCCTGCCCAGAAGCTTCCGGTAGGCCCAGGGAGGCTGACCCTCAGTCCAAACGAATCAAGCCCAGGGCCACCGACAGTTACCCGTGCCCAACTGCCCGCAGCCTGAGTTGGGTCCTTGCTGCGTATCTCGCCCAGGGCCTGACTTAGATACATTTGATAAAGGAGGCCAGGGCCTGGGCGCCTTCAACCAATTGGCGCTGCGCAACTGCCTGAATTTTACCCCAGTTGCGAAGTAGTCCAAAATAGGCCTCTTGTCGTCTGTCGAGCCTGCCTTCACTTAGGGCGGCCGACCTGTTGCAAATAGGGGCCCGGTAGGGCTTATTGAGGCCTTGTGCCTCGCATTATTATTATTATTATTTGCTGTTGCAATCAGACTCGCTTTCACTTCCACTTCACACACATGCAAACAGATGGAGATTCACACCGCCGCAGGGCGCCCACTCAAAGCTTAGAGATACCAAAATCAAGAACACAGTTCAGATGCAAGTTCACTTCAAGAGGCTATGGCGCATCGGCGCCTGAACATCCCAACCTTCGTCACTATGTCCAACCCCACTGTTCACACATGCTCACTTTGGATCACCCTGAATACCACCACACACACACACTTAATCTCACTTCCTCCTACAGCGACTATGGCCGCACTACCACTACTGGCTATGGCTACGATCTCCCTTCAGCCCACTTCGTCTTCGGGCAACCTGCAGACAACTTTCGCACAAGACGCTGTAGCAGCGCTTCCGCATGGCTTACGCAGCGAATGAATGGATGGCTGGGCGCTGCCTCTTGATTTATACTTCTGTAACTCATTGGTCTGCCCCTCTCCACCAGGCCTATGGTGCACACAATCCCTCATGGTACTTGCTTGACTGGACTGGGACTGACTGGACCGGTACCGTTGACTGCATGGGTTTGCACTGCCAACTCAATGCAGTCGCACTGCCTATCCAGATAATGAACTATCACTCCAAAGTAGTCAGCTCTCCTACTAAGAGCGTCCGCAACTACATTGTACTTCCCTTTTACTGGCTTGAGCTCAAAATCATATTGGTCTAACTCTGCGGCCCACCTCGTAAGCTTAGGTGTCATCTTGGCCTGAGTTTTCAGCCACCTTAANTCATATTGGTCTAACTCTGCGGCCCACCTCGTAAGCTTAGGTGTCATCTTGGCCTGAGTTTTCAGCCACCTTAACGTCTCGTGGTCTGAGTAGACCTTAACGTCTCGTGGTCTGAGTAGACTTTGAAGTGCCTCCCAAGCAAGTAGTGCTTCCAGTGTTCTAATGCTTGCCTGAGAGCGTAGAGTTCCCTTTCGTAGGTGGATGTCGCTACCTTTTCCGAAGGCATCCTAGCAGACATGAACTCTACGGGTCTATATCCACTGCCATCATCTTGCTGTATCTAGTCCGGAAAGCGATCTTATGCTGATCATCATACGGGCACCCTGCACCCGATCTAAAAGATCATCCATACAGGGCAGTGGCTCCGCATTCTTCACTGTGATAGCATTGAGACCCCTATAGTCAATGCACATTCTAAGCTCCCCCTCCTTCTTGGGGACAAATAGAACAGGTGCTCCAAATGGAGACTAACTGGGCCTAATCCAACCCTTCTCTAGGAGTTCATCTAACTGCTTGCGCAACTCCTCCGACTCCCGCGGGGACATCCTGTACACTACTCCTTTAGGAGTCCTACTGCCAGGCTCTATCTCAATGCGATGCTGGATAGGCCGCGGGACTACCCCTGTCGGCGGCTTAGCTAGGTCTGTGTACTTTTCCAGCAGCTTGGCAATGGCAGGATCTAAGGGTTTTTCCTCTTTAGGCTCAGTGACCGCCCTAACGTAGGCTACAAAAACATGTTCTTTTAGCTGCTCCTTCTTCACTAACCTCGCAAACGCAGGAGCGCTAAGGCAGCAATGTGCCAGGGAGTTGTCTACTCCTGACACATGAAACAGACGGGCAGTCTTGACCCCGCCTGACGGGCTAGGGAGCCTATACTCATGCTCTCTCAAATGGAGTGTGGCCCCTGCTGCCTCTCCCCAGTCCATTCCTAGGACTATATCGAAGGGAAGGTTATCCTCTACGAGGAGAGTCAGGGAATGGAGAATTGTCTCCACTTTCCCATCTTTCTCTAGGCGAAAATACGCCTGGACTCCCTCTACGTAATCCTCTACTCGCATCGTGCGATTATCAACAAGGATACTTACTATGGGGTCTGCTAACTTTTGGACTTTCAATCCCAACTTCAACTTTTGCAGCGCCTTTCTACTAATATAGCTGCGAGTGGCCCCACTGTCTACGAGGGCCCCTACTCTGCTCCTAAAGACCTCTACGTCTACTAAGACTAGCTGTCCTCTACTCTCTTTCTTCATCTTGGCCCAGGCGGGCATCCTTTCCTTCAGCTCGTCAGCCACGCCTGTGAGGGAGGTGCCTAAAGAGACTCGAACACATGCAGTCTCTGGACAACTATCTAGGCACCGGCCTACAACCTCTGCCATAGGCGCATGTGGTGTGGGAGTTTCCTGTCGGCTCGCGCTCGTTTCCCCACATGGCCTTATGGTAGGGGCAGTTGCAACCCCTAGCGGCGGCTGCCTTTTGACCCCTAGGCAGCCCATCGGGCCTCTCTATACTTTGGACAATATTTGATGATGTGGCCAGGGTCACCGCAATATATGCACTGCCCCTGGTCCACACGCTGATGCCAGACGCGCTGGTCCAGGCCCAAATCTTCCCAAGGTCGGCCCTGTGGCAGACCTGGGTGCCAACCACTTCTCCTATAGGGTGACCTATTACCCCTATTTGGTGACCTATTTCCAGAACGATTTTGTGGGGGACCTTGACCCCTGCCTCCCGCTTGGCGGTTTCACATGCCGCCAACCCCCTGATCACCCTGGGAATGACCACCCGAGGTTCGGCCCCCTTGGCCCTGGCCTCTACCTCCTCCTTGCGGCCTCCCTCCGGCCGCGACAGCAGCGTAAGTCCTCCCCTAGCTAGCGCTACTGTCCACTTCCTCTTCTAGTCCCCACTCTATCTGATCGTAGGGGACTTCATCCATACCACCCTTATCTAGCGTAAGGATCATGCGATCCTTTGTCTTGACTTAACCCGAGATGGTACGACCTTTCCACTTTTTGCCCTTATCCAGGTCCTTGTGCCAAAAAGTGGAGACTGACATGGACCGTGCTTCAAATGCTACCACTTCCCTGCTCAAAGCATCATAGGTCATGGTAGGCTGCTGACTTTTTTCAAAGAAATGCCCGCGTAACTGCTCGGGCATAGCGCGGTAGAAGAGATTGACCAACAGGGGCTCAGTGATCTCATGGTCAGGAATGTCGACCAACTCGTCCATTACACCTTTGAGTGCCCTAGCACTCCTCCATTGGCGAGAATGGATGGTTTGCAGTTTATCTGAGGCTTTGACACTGCACATACGTCTTAATATTCGCTTCCCAGTTGTCAAAGTTCTCCTCCTTCTTTCCACTATAGGAGTCGAGAAATTTCACTGTGACAGGCTCCCTACGAGGACGTGCTTCTTCCTCCTTGGGTGCCGCCAGCCTGGCGCCCTCTATGGCGCCTGTGCAATAACGCTCTTGGCTCTCTAGGCGGGCCTTCACCTCTGAGCCCACCTGCATCACCAACTCACGTGCAAAGTCCCTGAATCCCAGCCGTATTGACCGCAGGGCTATGTCCTGACTCCTAACAAATCGATACTGCTCCTCCTGGACCTGGGCCAGGCGCTCTATGTTCCTTGCCATGACCTGCACCTTGCCCGATAGGTCCGCCTGAGCCTCCATCTGTGCTCTCTGTTGCTTTATTTCTTCCAATTCTCTGGCCGCCTGACTCACTGCGTCCACTCTTCTTTTCCGTTCCCTCATCAGCCGCAACTTCCACTCCATCCTCTTCTCATCTTCGATTGTCTGCCGCTTGAGTGGATCTTCCTCTGCATCCCACTCTTTCATGGCCGCCTCCTGCTCTTCCCTAGGTACATACATTAATGCCTCCTCCTCTTCTCCGAGGGATAAACTGGCCACCCATTCCGTGATCTTCTTCTCCAACGGATCCTCCTTCACACCACTGGATTCCCCTCTTTGCCCGGTTCTTCTCCTCTCCAGTGGCTGCTCCTCTACTTCTTCTTCTGCCTCTACCGCGCGAAGTTTTTCTTCGTCCTCCTTTTTCAACCTCTCCATTTCTCTCGCCATCTCTTCCTCAATCTTCTTCTTCTTCCCCGCCTGTTCTTCCAGCGAGGCCTTCTTCTTGGCCTCCTTCTCTCTTCTCTCTTTCAAGATGGCGGCGGCTTTTGCCTCCTGTTCTGTTGTGTAAGGGGAGGTGCTCGTTCCTGTACACGTGTCAACCATGGTGATAGACGCACAACCAAGTGACGGTTCCACTCCTCGCCACTTAGACTCTCCCCCTAACTGACCCAACTTAAGACCGACTCGATCTAAGGACCACAGGATTCGTATAGAACCCTGCCAACTATGGTCTCTAGCCTGGACTCTAAACTACAAGCGTCACTACAAAACCTATTGCTGATCAGGAGGCATTTAAGGAGATCCCCCGTAACTCCTCAGGAATTCTTTAACGTCGCAGACAGGACGACGTGATCAGCAGGTTCTCTCAAGACTTAGACGGCCCGTTGTGCAGCCCACAGCTCGGATTTTGGGCCTACCAGGCCACATCGAGCAGCCCGCCGGTCAGTACCGGTTCTTGGGAGGGTTCGTGTCCTCCGGGACAGTCGAGTCGTCAGACACAGCCTTTAGCCCTACTCAGCCCGTGTGGGTTTGGTCAACGAGGCCCTATCCTTCATACACAGAGTCCTATCACCTGGACAGAAGAGACTCAATGCAGAAAGAAGAGACAGACAGACTCAGACTCAGCAAGTACCAGAGGGTGAGTGCACATCCATAGTGCGAGGGGATAGGCTAAGGGCTTGGCGAGATTATACCAACTCCAACTTGGTCAAAATTGTGGTCAACAGCTCCAGTCATCGCCTTGGTCAACACGGTCAAACCTTGGTCAACGCGGTCAACGCTCTGGTCAACCCTCTGGTCAACACCCGGTCAACCTTCAAGTCGGCTGTGGCTGGCGGCACTTTCTTCCTCGCCAACTTCCCTTCTCTTCACCTTCTTCACCTTTCTTCTATCTCGCCCCTTTCTTCTTCCTTT